TTGTTATTGCTGCTGTTGCTGCTGCTGTTGTTGTTGTCTCGTCGAGCACAAAAATGTACATACAAGCCAACACATGGACGTAGGTTCCTCCAGCGGTACACAGGGGTAGGGAGATTGAGTGGCATGAGGCAGGGGCAGGGGCAGGGGCAACGTGTGCACATTGTTTATTTCACACACTTATTGGGCCGCGGGCGCTACTGTGCAATCCTCCTGATCCCCTCCTGGTTTAGCTCCAGTTCTTGAGTCCTCCACTTTTTCAGCTCTCCAGTTAGCATTCCCAGCTCAGCCCGGCGCGGTTCGCTTCACTGCGCTCCCAGCTCTTAGGTTATGCACTGGAAGAAATGATTAGGAAATTAAAAAAAAGATGATGTATGGGAAAAAGTTAATTTAAAATGATTTTCGTAAGCTTTTTTCTTTTTGGGATAAACTTTAAAGTTTAGTTAAGTTTAATAATATTTTTAAAAACTTTTCTTCAAGTGCATCCCTGCTAAACCCTCATCCCGATCCCTGAGCGAGATCCCAGATCCGAGGGCTGGGGCCAGCAATTGGCTTGTCTTGTCTTGTCGTACGTTTTCCAGCTAAGATTGGCGACGCCATGTAGTTAACGCGTTCGCACTTTTTTTCTGCTTCCTCAGCTCTTTGTTGCAGTAGTTGTTGTTTTTGTTGTTGTTGTTGGTGTGGCAAGTTAGCCCATGGAGAGGAGTCCTCGACTCGTGTCCAGTCCATTGAGTTTTCATGCCACGCAACTGCAACGAAATTGGCTAAAAATGACACTCGTTTTCAATGGCCAAGTGGGGCGAGCGGGTTTATAGGTAAAAAAAAAAGAAATCCAAAAGAGGTTTATGCATATAGTGTACGGGTTAGTATGCGGCAGAGAGGTGGGCATGGGCATGATTTCTGATTGGCCATAAACACACAAAAGTATTGAGTTTTATCAGGCTGCGGGCTATATGGTGCTCTATACGATGGCTGGCTGGCTCATCGCATCCCTGCGAGATCTTGGGACATAAACTTGTACCTCATATACGTTAGTACGTACGTAGTGCATATGGGGATAGTCGGATAGCCAGTTAACAACAAGCAACATCAGCAATTGGCAATTACTTTGATAACCGGGCCCTGGCTTTTTGTGTGTGCTGAAAAGTTGATTTGCTTTTTCTTCTCCTTCGAAGAGCCTTTTGGCTCGAAGGCTTCAAGGTTTGACAAAGCAATTGATGAGACTGCAGCAGGTACGAAAATTACACCCTGATATCTAAGGGGAAGAGTGGATTATAGACACCAGTTGGTAACTGAAAATATGAGTAGGCTAAAGGTTTATCAGTGCCATAAATAAAGAAAGGCCTCGATAATGTAAATGTAATCTTTGCTAATCCTGGCAATCTTAATTGGTACAAGGTGATTGGATTTGGTCTCTCAACTCGGTTATAGCTCTTCATAACTTCAGGCATAAAATAAATACATTTCACAGAACTGAAAATTAACTTTCAAAGATAAGAGCAAGGTCTTTGTGGAGTATCTGTGAAGGTTATTACTATGGTTTATTAAATTAATGGTATCATAGGTGGAAAATGAAGTTAAAGAATGAATACTCTAAGAAGTTAAATGTTAATAAATTGATTATTTGGTTGTTTACTAATCAGATAATGTTTATTTCATTAAAATAACCTTTTAATTTAATAATAAAACTCACATTTAGATAAATTTTTAGAGATAACAAACGAAGTACGCGGCTGGAACAGGAAAATGAAAGAAAAAGGGCTTCCTTTCAGAAGCCAGACTCTTGGACTCCGCCTACTGATTGCTAATCTGCAAACACAACAAATTCGAAAAGTCAAGAACAATTAACTTCCTCATTACCCTCTTATAATACCCGCATTTCTGCTGTACCGTGAGGGACATATCAATCCGGCAGAACGCTCCCACTTATAATTACTCCGCTTGATATACCTATCTGATCGTATTTCACTCAGGGCTCTGTCTGCCTCAACCCTCTCTGGCACTCTTCCTTGACGAACGCGAAAAACATGACAGTTTTTCCCATTGGCTGGTAAAGGGAGTCGTTGGAATACCCATCGCATATCATGCCAACACCATCGATTTATGATGGTCACCCCTACTACTTCGGGTTCCTTCTGGATGGTATTCTAAGGTAGTTAGCCGTTTTGGTGGCAGGGATTAAGATTAAGACCCAGTGCTACATCAAATGGGTGTGAAAAACGCAAATTACAAAGAATTTCCTTAGGGTTACTACACTGGGTGAGGGCGGGGCTGTAGGTGAAGTATTACCCGGCAGCTAACAACAACAACAACAACAGGAAACTGGCCACATAGCTGCCGTCGAGTTTTGGATGGACAGACAGTCGACGACGACTACGACGACGACGACTAACTAACTAAGGGCGTGTCAGGTAAAGTCCTCATCCCAAGCCTCACCATCACCATCACCCTTTACCCGGTCGTGTAACTTTGAAATATGTTGAGCGTGGTGCGATAACTGGCCAAGTAACTAACTTGGCCAACTTGGCTAACTGGTAACTGGCAAACTGGCCGCTGCATATGCATATTTTATGCCATTTAAGCGGCATTTATGCAGCTTCGCGTGTTGACAAAAGTTGTTGGCTGCTCGTAACTCAATCTCAATATTTCAGAGCCCCAACCAGCCAGCCCAGCCAGCTCAGCCAGCCCAGCCAGCCAGCGTTACATTAAAACGTGACTTTGACAGTAGCAGTTGAGGCCTCTGACAACGGCAGCAACAGCAGCAGCAGCTATGCCCAACAGCAACATCCAACATCCAGCAGCAACAGCAACATCAACGCTGCAGTACGTGCCCCAAACACCAGGAAGAGTCATCGTCATCGGTGCTGTGTGACATTCGTTAAGCAAAATATGTGTCATCCTCCAGCTAGAAGCCTAAAAACGGGAATGGGCACTCCGATTGGCTATGGATGGGATATTAGTCGATGGCACATTTTCCCAAGGGTATCAAAGGTATATCCTGCTTAGGTTTCCATCACAATAGCTAGTGTTTCCCCAGGATCAACAGCTGAATTGACTGAAAACACAAGTACGTGGGTTTCGGAATCCTAAAATCTAGGTACATAAAATATGGTATTAAGGTTGGTAAACCTGGCGCTCCATTAAAAAAAGAACATTAAAAAAGCATAAGTTTTTTTGTATAAGTAAGAGAAATGCTCACTTTTGAAGTAATTGTTTAAAAAAATAAATAATTTCTTTCAGATACTTTCCGATTGAGTAAACAATTGAATAATTACGAGGTGTGTTCAAAAAGTAAGGTGACTCTTCAAATTTCGCGAATTTCAAATTTTTCGATTATCGATTTTTTTGTTTTGTTATATTGGTACACTCTTCCCTAACATCTGTACCAAGTTTCAATGGAACATCCTCTTTTGTTTGGTTGTGAGAGGCGTAAAGTTACAAGTTATTTTGCGAGCTCGGCGATTTTTTGCTATCGAAAAATATGGATCAAAGGATTTGGATTTTTTGGCCAAAAACAACACCACAATAATGCCTCAGCCACCATATTCACCGGATTTGGCCCCATGTGACTTTTTCTTGTTCCCAAAACTGAAGATAATCGAAAAATTTGAAAAATTTGAAATTTGAAAAGTCACCTTACTTTTTGAACACACCTCGTATAACTTCTAAAACGTTTCGATAATCGAAAAATTTGAAATTCGCGAAATTCGAAGAGTCACCTTACTTTTTGAACACACCTCGTATGTGAAACCTCATTAATTTTCAACAAGAACTTAGCAATTACCAGCTTCTGTTTCACTGTATTATATGCAATATTTATTGCTTAAAAAATAAATGAAATTGCTTAAACAAATATTTGAATTTTAATTACGTGGTTAAAGTTTATTTTCAGCAAACGCCATAAACTTTATTGACAGGCCAACCATTATCTGATGATGAAAGGCCTGAGCTTGTTGGTTTTAGAGTACAAGGCGAAAGATTTTTTTTATTACGCCACTAAAAGTCGTCTCTTTAATGGCAATCTAAATAAACTGAATTAGGAGGTGTGGCTTTTGAAAGTGTCTGCTGAATAATTAGACTTTAACGTAACTACAAGGATTTTAGAAAGTATTGATATTATGTTTAGCACAGAAAACCGAGAATTAAACTAAAGTACAGGGTAGCTAGAGGTTTAAAGTCTTTACAAGAAATTCTTTCACATCTTTTTTGTTTTTTTTTTGGGGAGGAACGGGTACTTGGAGAGACTCCTGATCTATTGGTTTTTGCGTGGCAAACGTTTACAAGCTAAACATATTTTCGTGGTCCACGTCGTCGACTGGTTGCCATGGCTGATTGCATGCATATTAGCCAAGAACTAAGAGCCAAGAACCAACAACCAAGTGGGCCAAGTTGAGGGGAAGACGCCAAAAAGTTGATCTGCGTTCTGAGGCATCAGTGGTACATTGTAGACTTTCTGCCGTCGCCCCCCCCTGGCTTCCACTCTCTGTACTCCTCACGAGCTGTTGCATATTTTTGCTACCCTTTTGTTTTGTGGCAAAAGCAAAGCAGCCAACAAGACACGATTTTTAAAACGAAATCCATGTTCTTGAGCCGCACTACGACCAGATCGCACTTTATATTCTTCTTTTCTGTTTTTTTAGTTTGTGGCATCTCCTCTCCTCTATGAGAAGTTTGAGGGTCTCTGGGAAGCGTTATTTATAAAACATGTTCGAAATGCAAAGCATGCGACACGACGAAGCTTTCATGCCCTATACACAAGTGCCGCATACTTCGCATCGCTCACAGATTATTCAGATTTTTTTCTTTGGATTTTCCTGTTGTCGCCGATGATGTCTTTCAGCTCCAATGGTGGTAAATCATATTGCAATTGGTGGGGACAACAGGAGTAGATTGATCATCCAGATGAGAGCGCTTTTAATGAGTACGCTTTCTCAGTGCCAGAAAAGTAAATAAATAATGAAAGGCAAACAGCTGCTCATGGCAGGCCATTAAAAATACTTACTCATTACGATTTTCTGAGATATTTAATATTTATTCATAAGGTGACAGGCGGTCACACAAAAATGTGTAACAAACTGTAAAATAACTTATCTCTTCAGACTTAGTTGTAAGCACAATGTATTGCTCTCCTTTACTTTTGCCTAAAGATCATGCTAACGAAAACTATGTGTGTCCTGTTCGCACGGAAGGCAAATGTCACCAATACATTTACAAATTAAGCTATGGATAGAATAAGATAAAGGAATGAAGAGTACTTCGTATTTGGCCCCAAAAGAGAACAGGACGTTTATGACGACGCCTACATTTAAAATTGTAGTTTAATTTGAATAATATTCTAATATAAATTTAAAACTAAAATATTAAATAAGTTTAATAAGTTTAACAACACGATTATTTTTTAATAATCTCCCAACTCCCAAATCTAAGTGATCACATTTACATAGTACCCCTTCCCCACTTAAAACTAATGGGTATCAAGAAACGAAACGCTGACGTCGCCGTTGCTGCCGACGCTGTCTTGTTAATTTTTGAGCTATTTATTTTGATGTTTTCGGTTTTACGCTATCATCAAGTCGCCCAAACGCAATGCCAAAGTTCTTTAGTAGCTGCAAAAACTGTATGTAAGTATGTATAAATTCTAAAAAATTATGATATTATTTTATACTATATCCAAATTACAGAAAAACACCACAATTTCTTCATTGCACTTAATTGATTGATCATTTCTCTATCACTTACAATGTCACACTCGCTCATTGTCACTTTGTCACACTCGATCATTGGCAGTGATCTTTATGTGTAAACACTTCAGTTGTGATCGAGTCAAGATCATTTCATTTAGAGATCTTTATGTTGATCTGTATTCTTTTTAGGAGATCGCTTATCTTCCCATTTGTATTCGAGTGATCTACAATTGCTCTTGATCTAGTATTTAGCCACGCGACTGATCACATCTGGTTTCTGATCTTCTGGCAATGATATGTCAAACCTGCTGATGGTTCAATCATTAATCTTGTGAAGTACTTTGGATAGATTTTCAGGGTAAATGGAAGTCTTTTAAGATCAAATTATATGAGAAAAAGTGTATATAACATTAAGATTACATAACTTCTATACCTTAGAATGTTTATTTATTGCCTTTACAGAAATCCTTGAGATACTCACAGCTTGTAACAATCCTCTCAAAGCACTCCAAACTTGGCGATCAACCCAATCGGAAACCCGGCAAAAGGGCAATTCTGACTAAGCCGCTAGTGAACTAGCCCATTGAGCTTACCATTTTTGCATACGGTGGCATTTTCAATGGTCTCATAACCCAGGGCCAGACAATGAAACCTTCTCATCCCCCCCACCCCCTTGTGGATCCACTGTACCTACCACCCACCCCCCCTTTGGAATCTGCTGTCAATGTGCGTAACAATTAAATCGTGTGGCTTCCTCTTCTGTCTGCAGACAATTTGCAAATGATCGGTCGCCGTGGGTACGGTGGCTTTAGCTTGGCCCACAGGATGCCAGTGCTGGGATGGGATTGGATTGGATTGCGTGGCCCATGCACCTAACTTCATCACGATCCGCGACACGAAAATAGTTGCACTCCTCCCAAAGACGGCAAAGGCGGCGGCAGCGGCGGTGGCGGCGCTCAATGCGAAGAAGGAGCCTTCTTTTCTTGGAGTCGGAAGCGTCACATCACGAAGTCGACGCCAACGCCACTGTAAGTAGAAGTGCACTGAGAGAAATAAAGGGAGTTTTACTATGACTATGACTATGGCTAACTTTTAGATCCTTCTACTTTTATAAAGTAAAGAAATAATAAGTTACTTATCAGATTTAGTCTTTAGAACCTTAAATAAGGATATTTCCAGTGTAATAATGGCAACGAGCAATAGCAATAGGCCATAGCAACTGGCAACTGGCTAGTCGCCTCGACTCAAGACGACTGGAATCGACTTCCAACTGCCACCAGGTTGGCTGCCCCGGCGATTTCGATTTCGAGTTCTCGTGGTGCTTTGCATATTTAGCAAACACATTGCCATGGCTCGTAGCGAAAACGGTTTCATTGTTGCCGCCAACGACATGAAAGCCTGCGCTCCTTTCTGGCTTTTGGTGGCGAAAACAACACACACACACACACACAGCCATAGCCACTCTTGGCCAGCCATCTCCGCCCGCAGCAGACACTCAACACACAGATGCCGATATAATAACAATCGACAAAGAGAGATGGAGGGGGACGATGGATCTATATAGTATAAGCACTATAGTCAGCACTACGGATATATGGTGGACCTGAAACCGGAGGAGGCCCCGAACGAGGGCTAAGAAGAACCCAACTGAATGCTGGCCAACAACGAGACCAACCGACAAGAAAATAAGTTGAATAAAATTATTGTGAACACGTCTCGTTGATTTATTGTGAAATCGCGCATGAGTAATGATCGCATATTTGGGTATGCTTGTTGTTTTATCCGAAGAGAAGGTCGCTCTCCTTGCCTCTATCCCACTTTAGTTGGCTCCCTCGGTTTGGGCCACAGTATAATTTCTGCTGTCTGTTGGTTGCTTTTTTTTTTTGTTTTTTCTTACTCCTACCACTTGAATTTTTGTTGTTGTGTTGGCCGTTTTTTTTTTCCAGCCTGGTTATTGCTCATTTTCGTATCGATACGTAAGCCGGTGATTCTGTTTACATTTTACCGGGCTTGTGCTCTCTATTGTTGCTCTAAATGGCATCGAATGAGTTGAACATTTTGGTGTGTTTTCACGTTGTCGTTTGTGGGGACCTCCAAAAACAGTGCCACATTCGATTCCGAGACCGAAGCCAAAGCCATGGGATCGGGATTATAGCTGGGAGTCTGGAGCTGCTCTTGGTTTTTAAACAATAAAACATGATGATGGCCAAACCTGTGGCTGGCGGGGGGTTCCTTTCTGGTTATCTAATCGGCCTTTATAATTGGTGGGTAACCGGCAAAGGAGAGAGAGAGAGAGAGTCCCACGTAGAGATTCAGCCCGATCATTGTGTAACAATTAAGGTAAGGAATCAACACTGATCAACAATCTATGGCATGGGGAGATCGTAATTGTTCTTTAACTTTTACCAATCTTTTGTTCAGCACTGTTTCTATGGTCGAAATGCATTTGTGGGTATTTCGAATTAGACAAAATATCGCTGGAATTAAGGCATGAAATCTAATTTGAAATCAAGATATTGTTTAGTAATTAAGGGAATACCTAAGAACTGTAACTGGGTTTAATGACCTGGAAAAGGTTCTTATAGTTAGTTCTATTCAGATTCTAGCAATATTAACTGTTTATCCCTTAATCAAATCTCTTCCCAAAACCTATATAAGCTACCTTTGCAATGGCTTTTCCTTTCTATTAATCGAATAATCTTTTCCAACCCACCTGAGCCATACAAATTGAAACTTTGCTTTCCAGCCAAGAATTCTTCTTGACTTTCTCTCAATTTTTTCACATATCAATAACCATTATCTATCTCACATGTTTAACCGAAACAATTTTTTCTCGCCAGACTGCAGTTTGAAAGCCACCGAATAAAAGTTAACTGAAAGAAAAGAAGAAGAAGAAGGCCAAGAAGATGCAGACGGCAGACGCAGTCTCGGAAAATGTATCTTACAGTACGCATGAGGCAAGGCAGTTGCGGACCAAAAATTGATGATCGCGTGCCAAATGTGCATGTTTATAAACATATTTCTTGTCCCCCCCGTCTGCTGAACTCGCCCCCTTTTTGGTAAGACCCCCGAACCCAATAAGTTTGGCTCTTGGCTGGCTAGCTGGCTGGCTGGCTGTCCCATTTGGATGATCTTGCATTTGATCAGTCGCTTTGTTGATTGCTTGAAACTTGTGTCCATGCAATAAAACACTCAAAATGCCAACTTTATTTTGGGTCAAAGCCGGCCAAACACGCAACGTTGCCTGAGAGTTTCCTCGAGTTTGCTCGGATGCGATAAACTTTTGCCTTGTTTCACTACCAGATCCCTCTCCCGCCCGAAAGAAAAATCCCCACACTTTTACGAGCATTAAAAAAAATTGTCTGCGGGCAGGCAAAGGCAAAAGATTGTGAACGAATTTTGCGTGCGTTTGACCTTTTTCAACGAAATGAAATATGAAATTCACACAAAAATAAAGAGCAAAGGGGAGACCGAACACAGCAGAAGCCTGTAGAAAATGGGTTATATAATAATAATATATAAAAATTCCAAAATTTCCAGGCGATTCAAAACGACTACCAACTGTGCATTTGGCGGAACTTTGCGCCGCATGCGTCGCATATCTTTGACACAATCCGTGGCGCCCACCCGTTGGGAATTCGAGGGCAACCTTTTCACTTCTTCCCCCCCAAAAAACGATCTCGAATTAAATTAATTCATAATGAACAGAATTATTAGAGCCTAACCGCTCCGAAAGAGAAGGCCCAATGTACAATAGCATCGGCCTTTATCATTTATTGAGGGTCCAAAACAGTGATGGCAGGGACCTATTGAAAGGGCTTATTAAGCGGGATAAGTGGTTTAAAAATATGAATATAAAGAATATAAGATAATAATATTAGAAATCGAAGTAATATATAAAAATAATGCTTGGTTTTTCTTAATTTTTCTAACTTTTTAAGTAAAAAACCAACAAAATCTTGTATTTTTCCAATCACATATATCTAATATCACTTTAATATGATCACCAAATCCAGATTACCTGCCTTTAAAGAGCCAAAGTTGCATCACTGAACCCTAAAACTTAACAAAAAAAAAAAACCAAAAAGAATAACATTTTACAAGGGCGTTGTCAAGCAGTTAAGAAAAGAATCAGAACCAGTAACAAACTGAAACCCAGAGCTAGCCGGGATTAATGGTTGCGCTGACAGAGAGAATCCTGCGGTTGTAATTTTTACGACCCTTCCTCTCTATTCGGGTTACCCTCCTTCTATTCCTTCTCCTCCACCTCTTTGGTTTCCAAGCAATTAGAGTTGTGTGAGCAAAGGTTGCCTCCTTCCCACTTGGGTGCTGATCGTAAAAGATCTTCTACAGAATTCGCCGTCGCTTCGCCCGCGGATCATTAGTTACTCGGGAAAACTCGGCGTGGGTTGTGTATCACACAGGATCACCGTTCGGGATCATGGGATTATACCTTAGACTTTTACGCCGGCCCAATTACATAGCCAGACAATGTGCAATGATCTGGTTGCTCTTTCACAGAATCGATCTATGCAAAACATACCCCTGGGCCAACAGTGGGTTAAAGTCAACAAACAGTTAAAACAAGGCCAGCAAGGGTTTATCTTTGTACCTGCCGGGGGGGTTATATGAAATCCCTAGACCAAGGTGATCAGTATAAGATCAGTATGGATATTGGTTGGATTGCTTTATGCGGGTCATAAAGGTAGGGAAAACATATTTGGTATTTAGTAGGTTGTTATGAGTGGAATAAAGGAAAAATATGGAAAACACAGGGAAAAAGGTTTGGCAGAGGAAGAGGGCGAGTCTGGAAGATTTTTGAATGCAAATCTTAGTCTGAAAAGAGCAAAGGTTACTGGTTTTACCTAGTTTTATTGTTGGGATTATTAATATAATGTCTGAAGGTACCAAAACAGAAACATAATTCCTTGTAAACTGTTTTTACTTGGCGCTAGAAATCGAAGTAAAAAAGTTTATATAACAAAAGGCTTCTTGGAGAAGAATTAATAAGCTTTAGAAACTTTTTCAGTTAAGTTTTAGTTTTAGATTCTTAGGCTATTTTTAACATATGTCAGCTTACATATAAGAAGCTTCCTAGATGTAAATATTTCTATACCATAATCCATATTACTTAAAAGAAAAATCAACCTAAGAGGATCTTGTCGATTTTAATCTCTTAACTTTCCGTTAGCTTTGATTTCCTCAATATCAACAACAATTAAGCTGTGCTCAATCAAATCGATCAAGACCTTTCCCTAGTTAAAGGTGACTAATTAATCAAGCGAAGATCCACTGATCTTTCAATATACGTTGTCTAAGCTTCCCCCGACTCCGGGACAAAGGTGTTTGAGAAACACGATTCTCCACTTCCTCCGACCTCGCAGCTCCACCAAAAAGATTGCTCTAATGATCAGCTCACACAAAATATATGTTTCTTTTCCCGGAACATCCCACCAAAGCATTCCATCTGTATACATATATATTCGTGGCTCAGAATCAGAAATATGATTAATTTTTCCTTTAGGGCTCTGACAGCACAAATCTTTCTCTCGAACAGTCATGCCCATTGCAATTGGCCTGGAACACGTGTTTGTTTTTTTTGGGTTCTTTCCGTTTTCCAGACCCCCAAATCGCAGCTTTCACTCATGCGTGGTGGGTTCTGTTGTTGTCCCGCGAGAAGGCCAAAGAACCTAGAGAATCGGAGAGTTGGAGAATGGGAGAGTAACCGAGTTGGGAAATGCGCATGCGCAAACGCAAATGTTGCATGGAAAACCGACGACGACGACGACGAGGACGGGAACGAGAACAACGACTACATGACATAGTGCCTGTCGTCTCATTAGGATTAGACCCACGTTATTTAATTGCATGTTAGGGATTCCTGCCTTATAATGAGTTAGTTAAACACACACACACGCACATACAGTTGAGGGAGCTGGGACAGTAAGCAAATGATTAATGACCAGGGAACCTCCTCTGTTTATCTCACTCTTAGGCGGTTCCATGGCCTAACCTCTGTTGGTTTTCCACATGAATTTATTTACAAATAAAATTATAGTCTCAAAGTCAAGGCAACAGCAGCAAAAGTACAACAACAACATTGCTGTTGCAGGGCCATTTAAACACCCCATAAACAATTTGCCATAATTTTGTTGAACGACGACGACGACGACGACGTTGAGGCCGGTGGTTGGCTGTTGTCGGTTGGCGGTTGGCGGTTGGCGCTCCCTCATTACAAAATGACGGCAAATTGCAATTTTCAGTGCCCGCATGCCGATCTGATCCCCATCTCCAACACAATCCCCATACCCATACCCATAACCATCCCCATCCCCGAGCCGATCCATCCAATTCGGTAGCGACGATGCAATGATGATGACGACGGAACGATGTGACAATCAAGGCGACGTCCACGGGCTGATGTGATGCGATGCGATGTGATCTGATGTGATGAGTGCGTCTATCATATCGTCAACGTGCGTCGTCTGCGTTTCAGTCTCAGTCTCAGTCGCAGTAGCAGTCCCAGTTGAAGTCATCCTTCTCGTCGTCATCGTCATCGTCATCGTCACTGTCAACCGACAACATCATCATGCTGCAGCAGCAACACCAACAACAGCAGCAGCAGCGGCAGCACATTAAAAAATATTTACAAAGTTATGATTTATGATTTAAAAAATATTAAATTTTAGGATGATTTGATAAGTTTTTAAGG